TTTTTTTTTTTTTTTTTTTTTTTTTTTTTTTTGTACCGGGGATTGAACTCAGGTCCTTGCACTTGCAAGGCAGGCCACCCAACCTCTAAGCTAAATCCCCGGCCCTCTTCTTTTTGTTTTTATCACAGTGTCTATCCTGTGTTACTCCTATTAACACAGCTAGTGGTAAGTCAAGCTCTTGAGAGAAGTAAATGAGTAATAATTAGTGGAACCTGTCTTTCTGTCACGCTATGGGGCCCAAAACTTTGTTACTCTTGGAGGAAACTGCACTCTTTACTCAATAAAAATGGGATTATATCTGCCAACATCTCATAAGCCAAAATAACTCCCTCCTTTCCATCCCACCCCTCCCCCAGAGGAACTGCATTTAGTTTGTCATCTGTGCTTACAGAAACAAGAGTCGAGTCTCCATACAGTCACCTTTGGGGACAGGCAATCCGAACTGCACCTTGCTTCATAATTTTACACAAAATCAGACCCTTCATGTATTCTCTCTTGTTAACAAACAAGGAGGAAAATTTAAAGTTTGGAGGCAAGACACTATTACATTATTATATTATATTATATTATTATATTATTATATTATTATACTATTATTACTATTCCAGCTCATTCTAGACTATAAGTTGCTTGAGGGGGAAAAGAAAAGCTTGCCTTTTCTATGATCCTACAGAGGAGCCCCTGTCCCGGAGTGCTGCAGAGTGCTGAAGAACACGAGCTTTGCCATAACACAGGCACGATCCAAACCTCAGTTCTGCCCTAAGTAGCCTTGAGATCTCAGGCATGTTACTTACCTGCTCTGAACTTCATCAGAAAATGGGGTTCATAGTGATTACAGTTGTATCTGTCTTGTTGGGCTTCATGTGAAGAATAAATGAAGTAATGTCTGTTAAATACTTAGTTAGCACAGTAACTGATGTAGATGGACAAGACCCAATTGTAGTTACCTAGCTATATGTCCTCCAAATATGACCTACTTTTGTCTCATCTTCCCTTCATAGGTCTCCATGGAAATGTCACAGCCCCTCTTAGCAACCTAACAACTCTTGGTTCACTGTGCTTAGGTGCCTAGTACTATTTCCTCAACTTCTCAGTGGTCAAGGGACAATAAGTGAAAGTTGCTCTTTTGAAGATGGAGGCAAAAATAAGTCACTGGCTGATTAACAATTTCAAGCTAGTTATATTCATGGGTCTTTCCTACATCAGTGTTAACCACTGGGCTACACAACGATGAACAAAAGGAAAAAACACTTTGAGGGAGGAGAACTCCATTATGGGTCTGGCAGAAGTCAGGAAGGATTGTGAATGTGGATATGAGAGGGAGTCGTAGACTCTGTGCTCTGTTCTTGAACCAAAATAGCATGTAAGTGTAAGGTTAGTTTCCTCTGCTTGGGAAGTGAAGGGGAAAGGAAGGGAGCTGTGTTAAAATTTATTTAAGAAAATATATATATCTGAATCAAACTGCCGAATAAGTATTTGCTTATTCTCTTTCAAAAACAGAACCAGGGATGAACTTATTTTTCCTAAATTCTAAACTGTAAACTATTAGGCAATTTAAGAAATCAGAGCTGCCACCCTATGGGAAGGGAGCTCAGCAATGTTCACAGCAACTTTTCTAAAACACACTTGCACCCTATTCTCACAGTGCCTGTGCCCTTCGTCCCACTCCGTCCTCCCCCCAGGGAATGTCTGGCTGGTATTCGCCTGCATCATCTTTTTACTGCAGATTCCTGAACCTGAGTTGCTTCAGTTAGAGAAGACACAGAAACACAAGGGTGGCCTGTGATGATCTTTGTTATCTGCAAGCCTCTTTTCATCTTATTAAAATTATACCCTTTCCACTAAGAGTGAAAAGAAACCCAAGAATTGGTAATTGTATCCCACTCAACCCCATCTGAACCAAGGGAAAGTGGCCCATCAGCCCTTCTCCAGTTACAGCACTATGCATGCCACTTTTCCAGTTCCCACGTTGCCCCTGACGCTCCAAGATTTTGTTCAATTCCTGAGAGGTGGGGTGGGAACCATCCTGATTATAGTAACATAAACACCATGTGGCAGACACTGTGTGAAGAGCTTTACATAAATTATTTAAGATGAGTCTTCCAACACCCTGGAGAAGTGGGTGTTATTATTATTTTTAAAAACTCCATATTCTCAATGACATTAAGGAGACAAAGAAACCTGATCACAGTTACAATGCTAGCAACTTGCAGAGTCGGGATTTGATTCCAGGCAACCTGGCATCAGAGCCACCAGATCAACCTGTATTCTAATGTGAAGTTCAAAACTCCACACCGTTATACTATGGATTCAATGTTTGTGAAACCCCAAAACTCCTCTTTATGTATTCATCCATTTTCTGTTACTAAGACAAAGTACTTAAGGTTGGGTAATTTATAAGGAATAAAAGTTTATTTGCCTCGTGGTTCTAGAGACTAGGAAATCCAAGAACATGGATCCGATATCTGCTGAACATCTGGCAAGGCCCTCATTATTGCATCATAACATGACAGAGAGCAACATATGACCAGACAAAGTAAGCAAGCTTGGGTCTCTCTTCCTCTTCTTATAAAGCCATTAGTGCTATCATAAGGACCCTACACTCAACCTCATTTAATAAACTTTTTCCTAAAGGCCTCATAGTCAAATGACATTAACATATGAATCTGAAAATTAAGTTTCTAGCACATGGGCTTTTGGGATATATATTCAAGCCACACCATTTATTATCCAGTGGGAAGATATCAGAAAGTGGAGCCCTCACTAATAGGATCAGTGCTCTCATAAAAGGAAGAGAAGAAGGATTTTTCTCTCCCTCTCTCCTTTTCTCCATCCTATATAGAAATGTCATATTCTGTGTCTTCCTATAAGGAAGGTGGCCATTTACAAACCAGCGAACAGGCATTTGCCAGACACCACATCTGCTAGCATATTCATCTTGGACTTCTAGTCTCCAGAACTGTAAAAAATAGCTGTTGTTTAGGCATCCAGTCTATGGCTATTTCTTATAGCAGCCTGCCCTAATATATGTTGGGTTAAGATTCTCTATTCATGTTGCTAAAAGGCCTATGATACTCCAATTTCCCAACTTCTTCTAAAAACAACAGATGTAGCTCTCAGTAGCCATCTGGGGGGCTTCAGTTTGCCCTCAAGGCCAAATCTCTGGCCCCTTGAGACTGGATCTCAAAGAGACTAGAAATCACTGCAGGCCATAGCCACATCCTCTGGACCTTCCCAGGTCATGGACAAGCTGTGATGAGCAGTCTCAAGCTAGGGCAGATGAACAAAACCATATAAGTGGCAGGCATCTTCAGGCCATCCTGTTTACAGAGGTCCCACCATAGAAAGATGGTGTTTGGTGGCAACATGTCCAGGCTCTTGGGGAATCATCTTCCCTCCCCTTCCCTTTCTTGCATTACCCTTCCCTCATCCCTAACAATCCTCTCACTTTCCTTACCTTGACTACCAAAACACTACAGGTCTGTGGCTGACATTTTTTCACTGACTTCCTTGACTAGGATGCTCCAGTGTCCAAGTGGTCCTGGAAATTGCACCCAAGAAAGAGAGGAAGAGTCACAGGGGGCCCTGATGTCTTTGTTTCACTACACTGCCATGGCTCTCAGTTTTTCCTTTTTGTGTGTCAAGCTTTCAAAGACAATGACTGCTTATTTTGCTTTGGATTTCCAGGGGCTAGCTTAGCATCTCATACATGTGAGGTCAATATATATTGAAATAAATTAGTTAATTATGTTTCCTAACAGATTTCCTTGTAACTGCAATTCATTTATTGACCTAATCCACTCTCAACTTTCTGCCACTGAGAAAATCAATTTAGATGAGGAAAAGTTTATTTTGGCTCACAGTTTCAACAGTTTCAGTCCATGGTCACTTGGCTTAGTTTTTTCTGGGCCTGTGATGAAGTAGAACATCATGGGGGAGGAGACAATATGGTGGAGGAAATTTCTCACTTTGTAGCAGCTAGGAAGCAGAGAGACAAAGGGCTAGGTTACCCATCTACTCTGAGAGCATGTCCCAATGACTCACTTCCTCCAACTAGCCCCTTCCTCATAAAGGTTCTACCCCCTCTCAACAGCACCATCCACTGAGGAGCAAGCCTTCAACACTTATGTTTTGGGGAAACATTTAAGATCCGAACCGTAACAAAGTCTTAAAGAAAATCAGTGCTGTGCATTTTTATTAGTTTACAGTATCTATGCCATCCCTTCCTGAAGTTACCCATGCTTACCCATCCACATTAACATATAAAGTCTTTGATGACAAGAGCCAAATCCTACTCACCTGTAAATGTTCACTGCAGAGCCTTCACATAATGGGCTCAGTGGTCACTGAGTTGATTTGAATTATACCTCTATAAACAGAAACTGAGTTCTTAGACAGAAATAGTCTCCCAAGGCCTTCTACAACTTCCAGTACAGAATCCAGAGTAGACTTCTCTCTAATCTTAACAAATGATAAGAGCTATTTCCAGAGCACTATGACTTTCACAGGGACTCATGTGTTCTAATGGCAGTGTGTGTACTCCCTATTGTTTCCTGCTCATGACTTCTTGTGAGGCACAGGTTTGCACATCTTGCCCTGCACATTGAGTTTTTACCAGGACTGTCTAAGCTTTAGTCCTACCCAGTCTATATAAGCATATCAGAGTCACTACATTACCTGCTAGTTTACAACCTCTCTCTCTCTAAGACCATTTTCCATCAACATTGATGTTACAACTCTAGTATTTCCCAAAACTATGGGTTGAGATGGCTGCATTCCTTACTCCAGCCACTTCTAGGCACTGGCATAAAAGCATCTACCAGCTGCAAATGTCTTGGGTCCTATTGCCCATTCTCAGACCCCAGTCATGTGGTGACCCAAGCTCTGATTCCCAAAACACAGAGACCTTTTTCCTCTGTACTCATTCCATGTTTTTTTTGGATCAGAGTCTACCAATGCAGAAGAGCTTATTCCTATCTTCCTCATTGGTAGAACCAGAGGGTTCATCAGAGTTTGGCAATGGAAGAGTCTCAAGGCATAAAAAAATCTGTATAGGTTCCATAAAGTTAAGGAAGATGTGACTGTATAGACAGAAAAACCTTTCACTTTTTTTCTAAGAGGTTAGTACCTTCGGTTCTCCCTCAATTGCCCATCCCTCTAGCCCACCCCAGCCCAGGAAAGGAAGCTGTCTTGATACAGCAGCAGAAAGCACAGCCCAAGGTCTCAGCAGCTCACTCAACCCCTGAGGTTTTAATGAGAGATTCTGCCTCAAGTCCTAGATGGATCATTCTCTTTTTTCCCTTTTTGTACAAAGCTTCAAAAGTTTGTTACCTGTATATTACAATTGCAAGAGTGAAGCCAAGAAGAAGAAAAAAGTAAAATAAGAGATAAGAAAAGAAGTCAGTCCTAAACAAAGCACCAAGAGAACTCAAGATGGTAGATGTGGATGTATTTAATGTCATAGAGTTATGGACTTGAAAATGGTTAAAATGGTAAAGTTTATGCTTTATATACTTTACCATGATAATTTTTTTTTTAATCACAGAAAATTTCATCATTGAGACACAATACCTGACACCCACAGCTTACAGGAAGAAAGGTTTATTTGGCTCACATTTTCAGTCCGTGGTTCACAGCTCCAAAGCAGGAGGGGCATGATGGAAAGGTCTGGCGTAGAAAAGCTGCTAATGTTATGGCAGCTGGGAAGCATGAGCTAAGGGTGGAGCCAGGGACAGGAATATGCCCTTCCAGGTCATGACCCAAGTGACCCATCTCCCACAGGCCCCACCTCCTAATAGCAAGTCAGCTGTCATACCCTGTGTCTAAACACCACCTCTGAACATGAGGTTTCTGGATGACGTGCTAGAGTTAAACCATAATATATGAACAGTAGGTGTGGGGAGGGGACAGTTGTCAGAACTGCTTCAAGTGTATGCAACAAATCTAATTAGTAAATCAAATTGGAATACATTTAATGTGCTAAAATGTATACATATGTATATGTGTGTGTATATATATAT